CCCCAGGCCTCTGCGCGGCCCCGTCGGAGCGCCCCCGGTGCCAGTCCCCCCATCCCTCCAACCCTTTTGGTCCTGAAGGCTCACCCTGCCGCTCCCTCCTGGTCCCATCCTCCCACCCGTTCTGCTCCCAGGCTCTCCCGCGGGCGCTCTCTCCTCCTTGCCCCACTCCCAGGACCTTGGCACTTTCCTCCTGCACCCCACACCCCCTCCCTGTGCCCCTGGGCATCTTCAGGTTCGTTTCTCTTCCCACCTCCCTACCTGCTGCCGCTCCGGAAGGACGCGCGGACCCAGGGACTGCACCGCTGCTGCGTACTGCGGTAGCGGCGGCCGTGTGCCTGCCCACCTCTCCGCCTCCCACCCAGGCGCACCCAGCGCGCTCCTGACTTTTGTACTCGGGGTTCCTGTGGGGGCTCCACTTTGCCTGGAGCATCCTGGGAGGGGGGCTCTAGTCCCTTAGCACCCTTTCCTGCCGTCAGCCCTGGCCACCATCTCCCTCCCCACCCCCACTTTCCTGCTCAGCCTCACTTTGTGATTCAGCATTTTCGGGTTGGTAACTTTCTTTGCTTCCTGGCATGATGGGGACCAGGCTATGGGGCTGAGGGCAGGGGGTCTGGTCCTGCGGGTCGTGGGGCCACCTCGGGGAGCAGACCTGCGCTGCCCGGTGCAGAGCAGGGACCAGCTCCTGGGGCTGGCTCTTCCTCCCGTTCATCTGTTGCCCTGTGTTGAACCACATCCTGGGGGAGATGACATAAGTAATAGCTCTTGGGGGAAACGGGCTATTAGGCTTTATGGAAATTAATACATCACATCCCAGGATCAGGAACACCGAGTTCTGGCCACAGCTGTCCCACTATCTGTCATGTCAGGATTTCTTTCTCTGCAACTTCTCCTCCCCCTCACAAACCGCCAGCCCCCTCCAATGCCAGGAGCCAGCACCCCCTCTGCTAGGGAAGTTGGGTTGAGGCCCCATGTTGCAGGGTTTGGGGACCTGGGTGGGGAGAGTCCCATCTGCCTTCCTGATTGTCCCCCGGAAAATGCATCTACCTGCAGAGCCCAGGCTGGTGGCAGTTCCTGGGCTCCTGCCCCTGTGCCCTCGAAGTGGGGGGCCCAGAGGGCATTGGCTCCCCAGGTCATGTCCATAGAGACTAGATGCTCTCC